GCCCTCAGAGGACCAAACTCTCCTTTTATACATAATTGAGTCTCCAAACCCAAAGATGCTCTAGATCTATTGGACCTAGCCCCTCTGCCCCCAGAGGACCAAACCCTCCTTTTATACATAATTGAGACCCTTAACACAAAGATGCTCTAGATCTATTGGACCTAGCCCCTCTGCCCCCAGAGGACTAAACCCTCCTTTTATACATAATTGAGACCCTTAACCTAAAGATGCTCTAGACCTAATTTGGCCAAAAAACACCCCATAGGAATGGAAGACGGATACTTTTCAAAGATTCACCTCTATTTCTTGCATATTAGACTGAGATATCCGCATTTCCGGCGTGGCTGGAAAATTCTATCCGACCCACGGGTCCAGATCGCTTACACTGTCGAGGGAGTTATAGTGACCTTTCAGGGTCACGCTATTGTTCGTGACGTCATTTTATGACGTTTTGGGGTCAGACAGGGTCATTGACGTCACTAACAATTGCCATCTGGGCTTCATATGCAAATGAGAAATGTGCGGACAGTTTACAACTTTACTAGAAGAGCAGCTGTTTTTACGGGTAATAAGCAAGAAATAGAATCCATTCCTGATATGAGGTAAGGATAATGTTATTCAAACCCTCGGGATGAAATATTGAGCAAAATACCCTCGGCAAAGTCTCGGGTCTCCTGCTCAATATTTCATCCCTTGGGTTTGAATAACCTTATACATACCTAACATCAGGGATGGATTCTATTATTCCCTTATTTCCTTTTTTTAAAATTATTATTTTGGTGCCTATTGCATACAATTTTGTGCAAAACAAAGTTACCAATGGAATATAGACGAACACAAGTTGTTGATTGCAATTCGTACTGACACTTACAGATTAATAGGTGAAAAGGTGTAATATAGATAAATAACATCGACATGAATACAAATGTATGCGTTTCCCATTATGTTGACTAATGTGATAGTTCTGTACCATCACTCCTAATGTTACTAGTGTGAGTGACGTTCCCCTCCACACCTCCGGCCTTCGTATGTATGGGCTCATGTTTCAGTCAATAACTAGTCGACCGCAGACGATAAGACGAAGACGCTAACTTGACCAGAGCCTCTCGGTAGACATAATATTGTCAATCAATTTATGCTCAATACAACACCAATCGGAATCACGTAGATCAAAGCTACAATACAAAATTATCACGAATGTTAGTTAATGTTAGTGACAGCTTTATGTGTAACACTATCACGAAATTCTACTACAGCGTTACTTCATCCTTATATAGGGAGTGACCATTACACTATCACCACAGCCTCATACAGAGGGTTACCTAACACCACCACTACCTCCTTATACAGATAGTGTTACCGTAACACCATATCCACATCCCAATACAGAGGGTTACCTAACACCACCACTACCTCCTTATACAGATAGTGTTACCGTAACACCATATCCACCTCCCAATACAGAGGGTTACCTAACCCCATCACTACCTCCTTATACAGGTAGAGTTACCGTAACACCATATACAAATCCCAATACACAGGGTTACATAACACCACCACTACCTCATTATACAGATAGTGTTACCGTCACACCATATCCACATCCCAATAAAGGGAGTTATAGTTACACTATCACCACATTCTTATAAAGAGGGTTACCGTAACACTATCATCACAACCTTATCCAGAGGGTTACAATAAGCAGTTACCATGTCCTTATACATAGGGTTACCATAATCAGTTAACATGTCCTGATACAGAGGGTTACCATAATCAGCTACCATGTCCTTATACAGAGGGCTACCATAATTAGTTAACATGTCATTATACAGAGGGTTACCATAATCTGTTACCATGTCCTTATACAGACGGTTACCATAATCAGTTACCATGTTCTTATACAGAGGGTTACCATAGTCAGTTACCATGTCCTTATACCGAGGATTACCATAAACGGTTATCATGTCCTTATACAGAGGGTTACCATATTAGTTAAAATGGCCTTATAAAGAGGGTTACCATAATCAGTTAACATGTCCTGATACAGAGGGTTACCATAATCAGCTACCATGTCCTTATACAGAGGGCTACCATAATTAGTTAACATGTCATTATACAGAGGGTTACCATAACCAGTTACCATGTCCTTATACATAGGGTTACCATAATCAGTTAACATGTCCTTATACCGAGGGTAACTATAATTAGTTAACATGTCCTTATACCGAGGGTTACCATAATCTGTTACCATGTCCTTATACAGACGGTTACCATAATCAGTTACCATGACCTTATACAGAGGGTTACCATGTCCTTATACAGAGTGTTACCATAATTAGTTAACATGTCATTATACAGAGGGTTACCATAACCAGTTACCATGTCCTTATACAGAGGGTTACCATAATCAGTTACCATGTCCTTATACCGAGGGTAACCATAATTAGTTAACATGTCCTTATACCGAGGGTTACCATAATCGGTTACCATGTCCTTATACAGAGGGTTACCATGTCCTTATACAGAGGATTACCATAATCGGTTACCATGGGCTTATACAGAAGGTTACAATAATCAGTTAACATGTCCTTATACAGAGAGTTAAAGTAACACTATCACTTCAACCTTATACAGAGGGTTACCGTAACATTATCATCACAACCTTATACAGAGGGTTACAGTAACACTATCATCACAACCTTATACAGAGGGTTACTGTAACACTATCATCACAACCTTATACAGAGGGTTACCGTAACATTATCATCACAACCTTATACAGAGGGTTACAGTAACATTATCATCACAACCTTATACAGAGGGTTACCGTAACACTATCATCACAACCTTATACAGAGGGTTACAGTAACATTATCATTACAACCTTATACAGAGGGTTACAGTAACACTATCATCACAACCTTATACAGAGGGTTACCGTAACACTATCATCACAACCTTATACAGAGGGTTACAGTAACATTATCATCACAACCTTATACAGAGGGTTACCGTAACACTATCATCACAACCTTATACAGAGGGTTACCGTAACATTATCATCACAACCTTATACAGGTAGAGTTACCGTAACACTACCATCACAACCTTATACAGAGGGTTACCGCAACACCAAAACATCACAATATAAAATGGATTACCAAAATACTTTATCATTGTGATATTCCTTTTTCCTTACATTTGTTAACGCTTACAATTCACCATCAGGACATTTTTCTACCCGTTTACCTGTAACGGCATCAACACTACACAATAATTCCAAGCCAGACACGTATACTGGGCTTCACATTTACCCTAATAAGCATGACAAACCTATACCGGAAATGACATCAACTCTACACCATCATGACATTTTTCTACCCATATACTGGGAATTACATCAATCACCATCGTGACATTTCTATAATCGTATACTGGGAATGACATCAATCACCATCGTGACATTTCTATAATCCCCCCCTGGGAATGACATCAATCACCATCAAGACATTTCTACAACCGTATACTCGGAATGACATCAATCACCATCGTGACATTTCTATAATTGTATACTGGGAATGACATCAATCACCATCAAGACATTTCTATAACCGTATACTCGGAATGACATCAATCACCAGCATGGCATTTCTATAACCGTATACTGGGAATGACATCAATCACCATCATGACATTTCTATAACCGTATACTGGGAATGACATCAATCACCATCATGACATTTCTATAATCGTATACTGGGAATGACATCAATCACCATCATGACATTTCTATAACCGTATACTGGGAATGACATCAATCACCATCGTGACATTTCTATAACCGTATACTGGGAATGACATCAATCACCATCATGACATTTCTATAACCGTATACTGGGAATGACATCAATCACCATCGTGACATTTCTATAACCGTATACTGGGAATGACATCAATCACCATCATGACATTTCTATAACCGTATACTGGGAATGACATCAATCACCATCATGACATTTCTATAACCGTATACTGGGAATGACATCAATCACCATCATGACATTTCTATAACCGTATACTGGGAATGACATCAATCACCATCATGACATTTCTATAACCGTATACTGGGAATGACATCAATCACCATCATGACATTTCTATAACCGTATACTGGGAATGACATCAATCACCATCGTGACATTTCTATAACCGTATCTGGGAATGACATCAATCACCATCATGACATTTCTTTAACCGTATAATGGGAATGACATCAATCGCCATCATGACATTTCTATAACCGTTACTGGGAATGACATCAATCACCATCATGACATTTCTATAACCGTTACTGGGAATGACATCCATCACCATCATGACATTTCTATAACCGTATACTGGGAATGACATCAATCACCATCATGACATTTCTATAACCGTATCCTAGGAATTAAATCAACAACACACCATCAGTACATTCTGTACTCGTGTGCTGGGAATGACATTAACGATACCCCATTTTAAACAGGTAAAATAATAAAACATTTTGGTGTGCACTAATGGAAGTCTATTAGCTATTGGTGTGTATTTTGAAGAAAACTGAGGTCGATGACTTTATTTACTGCATGCACCTCATTTATGTTGACTTCGTCTTCATGCTGTATATTATATACAAATCTACGTGTTGATTCGTATTTATAAATGTAGTACATGTATGTAGCACCTACCTGTCCCACTCCCCCTTACCTACGACACCCTTTGCAGCCTTAACCTACACATTCCGTACTTGCCTTGTCCTTTGTAGTCTTTATTGTCCCTACTCCCTCCGTAGTTCTTACCTGCCTCGCCCTCTTCTATAATTTTTCATCCTACCCGTCCTCCTCTGTTATACTTACCTGTTCCGCCCTATGTAATGCATACAATGTATATGCCCTGTCCTCCTCTGTTTCATTACGTTCCCCTAAATAGTCCTTACCTGCTACGCCCACAGAAAATCTTACCTGCACATCCTCGAAGTTGTTGAAGAGTGATCCCTGCGAGGGCATGGCCGAGGCGCGCTTGTGTTCACTGGAGCCGGTGGTCGTGAAGTCCGCACCCCTGTGGGATGGAGAGTTGTAAACAATACAGGAAGAAAAAGTTTTTGACATGGCAACAAGTACCTAACACATCCGTTACCCGTCCCCTTCCCAAAGGCAGTCACGCGCGTCCTTTGTACGCCTCTTATTCGTCACCTACCCAGCAACACACATTGCATATGCTAATAATCAGATATGCAGTACTCCTTAGACACAAAGATCAGATAGTCCCACCCGCCGAAACACAGGCCAGTAAATGATAGTGTTGTTTAAAACCATGGCAGTCAAATGGTCCGTCAAATATTGTCTTGTTTGCATGCAATGCAGATAGTGATTAGAAGACGGAGCGGTGTATTGACCACCAGCAGTGGGTTGCGTGGAGAAGGCTAAATGTCATAGCTAGCATACCACCTCTCATCCCCACGTCGCTCATCCTCAACCGTTTCCTACTAAATCAAATCCCTATTATTTTCCGATGGAATTAATTCCGTGTTCCTATCTATTTTAAGGCAAACTTTCAAATATTTGTCCATGTCTGCAGCAGAAATTTAGTTTTAAATCAAAACGATATCGCTGTTTATTGATTTCTATAATATTCATATCATATCATGCTTCAGGAATCGTGTGTGCCAGAGATACTCAAATACAGATATATTCAACAATAGCATAGGCCTGAGGGCAATTTGTCAGACGAACGAAGTATGTGTTACACGTACATGTAGACATTTCCGGGAAAGCCAGCGGATCATATAAATCTGGAGATATGTGCAATGGCGACCAATATTTATATTGATGTTTTGGAAGAACTGATGATTTCCGCGGTCAAAGCTCAAATTGGTTGGTATATGAAGGTCAGAACATTGTTGATAGCTATTATGTTTTCAGGAAGGTCTTGTCTACATATACTCAGTTTTTCTGTGTTTCGAAAGGTCATAGCTTGGCTTACCAATAGTCAGATGTTTGCTCTTAGAAAGGTCATAGCTTGGCTTACCAATAGTCAGATGTTTGCTCTTAGAAATGTCATAGCTTGGCTTACCAATAGTCAAATGTTTGCTCTTAGGAAGGTCATAGCTTGGCTTACCAATAGTCAGATGTTTGCTCTTAGAAAGGTCATAACATTGCCAACTGATAGTTCGGGATGGGCTAAATACATTTTTTTCTTGTTGGGAAAATGTGTGAGATGAGTGCCGAATCCCTCCATTGTGCCGTTTGGGTTGTTGACAAGTCCACCTTAGATTTATGTTTCGTTAGACTTTAATATGTAATAATATGATAGGTCAGTTCAGTAGATTGGTTACGAATTGAAACCAAACGCGAGACCTCATCAAGTAGTTCTAAGTCACTGATAAGTTTCCACTTTGACATTCATACCCATCCCTTGAGATCCCCATTAGGACCTAAGCTCCGCCATCGCCGATCATCCCCCATTAGGACCCAGTCACGACCCCCACAGTTATAGCTGATAGTTGGCCACAAGGTGGCGCGGTAATATGATTTATTCGCCCACGATCACATGACCTGGTCAGTGTGTTCTCTTCACCATCCCAGTCATTACACCATACATCAAAGACGCTGGCTCCAAAACATCTCGCCATTCGTCCGGAAATAATAGCGGAAATGTGTCAGCGTCAGGACTGCGGCTCGTAATACTCCCGATTGCCTAAACAATGGCTTACACACGTACGTGGTTAGCGTTTTGCCTAGGAAATAAATGATGCTTACTATTATTTGTCATTGGCACTTAGACTTGTTTGACGCCTAAAGAATTCGTTTTGAAACGTATCAAGTGTAAGCTTCCCCAAACCAGGTTAACGTGTGGCTATACACTATAAAGTAACTTTGGTGTCAGGTGCAACAATAGAAAATGAGCTTTTGCATAAAAAGACAATATCAGTCGTCACAACGAAACTTGGATTCGAACTATAAACCTCAGAACTGTAAACGTAAACATACATGTAACTAGTCACTAAGAATCGACACAGTCCAGATTCACATAACGCTTCCCTCTTTTATCTCAATTTTGCCCGTTAAAAACCTGTTTTGTTGCGAGAAGCCATGTATTATAGAACGTAGAATTGCAACGAGCCAGACCGCAACTGGAATGTACCAATGTATCGGTAGATAATCTCTATTACCAGCGAACAAAACGATCAGTACACTTTCCCTGCCTTCATTATTCTATGTCCTCAGTATTCCGATGTATTTTTATGGTGACGTCACTTAATTTGTATTACTGAGAACATTCAACGATGAAACTGATTTGTTCCTATTGATAGACCAATCATTTCCTACAACATAAAAAAGGCAGCTGGCAATAATGTTAAAAGGGCATAAAATCTTGTCTGATTTTAATCACTCGGTGCTGTGTTCGAACGTACAAGGGACGTTGCTGTAGATATCAGGGGATTCACAGCTAAATCTCACTGTCGTTATAGTGGTCAGTGTTGATTTAGGGACTTATTGAAACGACAATGATATTTGTAAGATATTCCTTGAGATACAATGAAGTGACAATTGCGCGCATTTTTATCTGTAATCACATGACATCAGATCAATGTTGTGCTGACATCGAAGAGCCTTCACGTGGACATTGTTTTTCACTGGTTAAATAAGGATACTGAAGTAACAGATCGACAGGTTGGTATCAGCCATACATCACTCAGTGATAAACTTTTCTCCTAAGATTAATTTCTTCAGTAATGATTCCAAAACATAACAGTGTCTTCAGTCTGTTGAAAATGTAACCCAAACAACAACTATATGCACATTATTACAAAAAATACGAAAGAGGGAAATAAATGTTTAAAATTTCGAGTGTCGATGCAGAATGGACCTCAAACAACAAAAACAACAACAACAACAACCCCTAACAGAATGGACCTCAAACAACAACCCCCCCCCCCCCCTAAAAAGTAGCGGTAAAACAACAACCCTAACAGACAAACTTCAAACTACAAAAATATAAACAAAAAAATCATTAACAGGTTATACCTGCACAATAACATGTACAAACCACTAGCCCAACGCCATCACTCAGTGTAGTAACAGGAGCTCTGTAGCCTATCATTGCAGCATTGGTTCTGTATTGTATCCCATTTTATGTACACGAAACCAGCTGCACTGCTTCAGATCGACTTAACATTGATCAACAATTCGCTGGTAATTTGATATACAGATGATAAATAACATCTAGCCATTCTAATATATTTTCATTTCATTTTACGAAAAACATATACTTCAAATTTAATTTAAAATAGAGTTGTAATTATTTAGCTAATTGAAATAGCTTTAAATTGAAATATACAATTTCTCAAAGTTCCATTTTTATTAACTAAAAATAACATCACACGAGAGAAGATAAAGTCTGCAATAAACAGAATGAACCGTAACTTTGTAATTGAACACACGTTCAGCCGGATACATACATCACTGACCCTCCGCAATATTGTCACATAAATAAGCACCCACAATAGTGTTACATTACTGACCACCCACAATAGTGTCAAATAACTGACCACCCACAATAGTGTCACATAACTAACCACCCACAATAGTGTCACATTACTGACCACCCACGATAGTGTCACATTACTGACCACCCACATTAGTGTCACATTACTGACCACCCACAATAGTGTCACATTACTCACCACCCACAATAGTGTCACATTACTGACCATCAATAATAGTGTCACATTACTAACCACCCACAATAGTGTCACATAACTGATCGCCCACAATAGTGTCAAATAAGTGACCACCCACAATAGTGTCCCATTACTGATCATCCACAATAGTGTCACATAACAAACCACCCACAATAGTGTCACATAACTAACCAACCACAATAGTGTCACATTACTGACCATCCATAATAGTGTCACATTACTAACAACCCACAATAGTGTCACATAACTGACCGCCCACAATAGTGTCACATAACTGACCGCCCCCAATAGTGTCACATAACTGACCGCCCACAATAGTGTCACAGAACTGACCACCCACATTAGTGTCACAAAACTGACCACCCACAATAGTGTCACATAACTTACCACCCACAATAGTGTCACATAACTAACCACCAACAATAGTGTCACATAACTAACCACCCACAATAGTGTCACAAAACTAACCACCCACAATAGTGTCATATAACTAACCACCCACAATAGTGTCACAAAACTAATCGCCCACAATAGTGTCACATTACTGACCACCCACAAAAGTGTCACATAACTGACCATCCATAAAAGTGTCACATTACTAACAACCCACAATAGTGTCACATAACTGACCGCCCACAATAGTGTCACAGAACTGACCACCCACATTAGTGTCACAAAACTGACCACCCACATTAGTGTCACATAACTGACCACCCACAATAGTTTCACATTACTGACCACCCACAATAGTGTCAAATAACTGACCACCCACAATAGTGTCACATAACTTACCACCCACAATAGTGTCACATAACTAACCACCCACAATAGTGTCACAAAACTAACCACCCACAATAGTGTCACATTACTCACCACCCACAATAGTGTCACATTACTGACCATCAATAATAGTGTCACATTACTAACCACCCACAATAGTGTCACATAACTGATCGCCCACAATAGTGTCAAATAAGTGACCACCCACAATAGTGTCCCATTACTGATCATCCACAATAGTGTCACATAACAAACCACCCACAATAGTGTCACATAACTAACCACCCACAATAGTGTCACATAACTGACCGCCCACAATAGTGTCACATAACTGACCACCCACATTAGTGTCACAAAACTGACCACCCACAATAGTGTCACATAACTAACCACCCACAATAGTGTCACATAACTGACCACCCACAATAGTGTCACATAACT